GGCTGAGCTCATAGATAACTTGGTCCCTTGCAACTTAAAGAATTCAGACCAAAAGCTGCTCATAAATATCTGGTCTTGATCAGAGACGATAGATCGTGGCGCTCCATGCAGCTTCATCACGTACTCCACAAATAACCTGGCAATCGACTTTGCTGTGTAAGGATGAGTGATGGGTATGAAGTGAGCATACTTTGTGAGACGATCCACTACGACCATAACACCGTTGAATCCATTAGAACTCGGTAACCCCTCTATGAAATCCATAGTAATGTCCTCCCAAACTGCATCGGATACCGGTAGGGGCTGTAGTAAGCCGCTTGGTCATCGCGAATCAACCTTAGTGCGCTGACAGTCGTCGCATCGTGCTATGTAATCCCGGACAGTATTCTGCTGTCCTAGCCAAAAAAAGGTATTGGCTATTTTCATCCATGTGCGGTAGATACCCGAGTGACCTTTAATCTTAGAATCGTGGAAGTGTTGCATGATCTGCTCGCGTAACTGCCCTTTGTCAGGAACGAATACTCAGCCTCGGTGTAGAATCAGACCTTTGTGCAACTCATAATCAACAACAGTCGCTTTACCTGCTTCTATCGCTTGGTGCAACTCCTAGCAATAAGTGTCCTTTTCTTGCGCCTTCCTGACTTCTTCCCAAATAGCCCAAGCCGGCCCATTGATAGCATTAAGCTCAGCCACATCAGTCCGTCTGGATACAGCATCAGCTACTGCATTCTGTCGGCCTGGTCGGTAGACTATCTCAAAGTCAAATCCCATAAGTTTTGACACGAACTTTTGCTGCTCGAGGGTAACAATCCTTTGCTCGAGTAGATGCTTGAGCGGCTACTGGTCGGTCACAATCCAAAAGTGTCGTCCCAATAGATAAGGTCTCCATCACCTTACAGCCTCGACAACTGCTAGCATTCCTTCACGTACACAGATAAACCCAGTCGAGTTGCGCCCAGTGCCTTGCTGAGATAGGCTAAGGGTCGTCCTTCTTGCACTAGCACCGCTCCAATCCCAATGTCGCTCGCATCTGTGTGTACCTTGAACAAGACATCAAACCTTGGCATGGCGAGCATTGGCGTTGTAGTCATGGCGACTTTCAGTTTCTCAAACGCCTCCTCGCTAGCTTCGGTCTATGTGAACCTGCCTTTCTTAGTCATCTCCATCAATGGCTTGGCGATGGTTCCATAATCCTTCACAAACTTTCTGTAGTAGCCCGTAAGTCCTAGAAATCCTTTCAACTGCGTGAGACTTGACGGCTTAGGCCAGTCAGCCATAGCCTAAATCTTTCGTGGATCAACCTTGACGCCTTCGTGGGATATGAAATGCCCTAGATACTCAACCATCTTCTCACCATGTTGGTCTCGATGCTTCGGAGATATGTGCATAATCCCGATCATGTGGTGGACTTCGGCGAGCTGCAGGTCGAGCGAGACCTTATCTACGAGGAGGTACCGGCAGTCATTTTGGACCGGAAGGTCCACCAGCCGAGGAACCGGGCAGTGAGCTTAGTGAAGGTGCAGTGGAGCCGACACAGTGAGACTGAGTCGACTTGGGATAGGGAGGACGATATTAGGAGGCGTTATCCGAACTTTGAGTTCTGAGTTCCTCTTGTATTTTATCGCTTTGTAGTTTTATTTTCGAATTCCGAGGACGGAATTCTTTGTAAGGTGGGTAGACTGTAATGCCCCGTTCTTTTATGAATAAATTGGATTATTATTACTACTATTATTATTGTTATTATTTTTTTATGCCCAAATTGTCAAATTGCTATTATTTGTATTAATTGTCTAAGTGATTATTATTATTAAATAATATTATTGAGGGTATTATAAATATAAATTATCCGGTTTTATTTATTTATTTCGGGCCATATTCTATTAAATCGGATCGAGCGAAAATTCTTATTATCGCGTGAATTTTATTTCGGGCCGATCAATTTAGTTTCGACCCAATTTTTAATTAATTCCAGCCTAACTTGGCTTGGCCCAAGGCTGAAGTAAATGGGCGTGCAATTGATCAGATTCCTTCCTCTCCCCACGCAGCGCGAGAATCGGTCTTCTCCCTCCTATGGCCTGCAGATTTTTCAGTTGCGATTCTTCCTCGCACGTTCACTTGCCTAGAAATATCTCGCAAAGAGGAGTTCCAAGCATCATTTCCTCTACTTTTATCTCTCAATTTCTCCAAAATAAATAAAAGAGAAGAAGAATTTCTACCGTCATCCGCCATAGATTCCGTCGATCCATCTGCGAGAAGCCTTGCAATCGTCGACCCTCATCGCCAGCAGCCCTCGTTGCCGTTTGTTGAGTGAGCAGTTGTTCCCTCTGTTCCAACCGCTTCCCTTTATCGCTGCAAGTTCCACTTTCCGACGACCATAGCAGTTTCCCCTCCAGCCGCCATCTCCCGTTGAGCTATTCATCAAGGCGAGATTGCCCAGCGGCCGTACATTCGTCAGTTTGGGTAGCTGTAGGCCATTCGGTGTTAATTTCTAGTTTCTCCATTCGTTCGACCTGTTTTTCCGATTTTCCGATATTTCTGAAGTCGGGTAATCTCTTTCGAACCTCCTTGTTATATTTCGTGCGCGAGTATTTTCGTTGGATTTATCATGTTATTGAATCGAGTTTGGCTGCTTTCGAATTATTTTCGGATCATATCATTCGTGTGATGTTATTTGTGGTAATCGCTCGTGGATTTATGGAACTCTCGGTGGTGAAATAGAGTCTTGTCGTTGCTGTGGCTATATCGTGTTAATTTGGAATTCCTTTATGTCGTTTAAGAGTCTCGCTGTAATTTATTTCGGGTCGTTTTGTTCGCTTGTTTTCAAACTGTGTTTCGACTCTTCATTTTTCGATTAAATAAAAATCGTTTTTAAAATGTTTCGAAACTCTGAAATTTAATTGTTTAATTAAATCCCCGGACCTGATACCTTCTCGAGCATTGTCGTCGAATTTGGGTCATTGATACTGCAGCTTCTGTTCAATTGTTTCGAGCGTCTGTTCAGTTCTCCAAACAATTTTTTCTGGTTAAGTCGCAGTTCTTTTTTAAAGTTCATCTAAACAACTATGCAAATTAACAAACAAGCAGCGCCTGTAGTCTAGTGTTATGACTCGCCCTTTGGGCGTGAGAGGTCCCGGGTTCAATCCTTGTTGCCCGCAATACCTTGTCATATATTTTTGCATCTTACTAATATCAGCAGCGGCGGCTTCACAGCCCGCTAGCGGCCCGCGCGCGGCCCGTCTTCCTCAGCAGATACAGCCCAAAGGCCCGCATCCCTTAGCAGGCCAAGTCTTGGGCCATTAACCCTCCTTAGCTGCGGCCCATTTCGCATGTTCAGGCCCAATTGTGGGACTGAAATTTCAGCTCCGGCCCAGTTCAGTTTTTAGCCCAGTTTTGAGTTCTAGAAGCCGTTTTTCGTACCGATTTTAATTTTAATAATATTTTTAAAATGATAAAATTTTGGAAAAAATTATTTAAGTCCCGAGACTCCAAATTTTATCCTCCGAGTCTTATTTTTTTCAAAAAAATGAGAGAGTTCCAAGTCCACGAAAAATCCGATTAAAACCCTTAAGACTTAACTTTTTATTAAGTATGGGTTTTATGTTAAATTTGAGTAGTGAGATAAATTATTGATAAATTATCTCGCTTAAATGTAGGTATTTTAGGAGTCGAGCCTCATCCTACGTACTTGCTCTTGTGTGCAATTTTCTACCGAGCTATCCAGGTGGGTTTTAATCTAAAATTTGCTATGCCATTTGTGTTTGGTTTGATATTGAGCTGGTATGATTTAAGTATGTATGTGAACCATGTAGCCTATCGGCGTGAGCCGATTTTTCGGCCGTCGGTACGGTTGTCCCCGTCGATGTAATATGGTTACCTTGCGAGGTAAGTCTCCGTAAGACCTAATGAAAGGCCGTGTCTTGTCGTATGGCACGTACCCCCATGAGTTAGGGTAATGAATCCCCTTTCCTTGGCTAATGAAAGATGTGTACACGTGGGAAATATGTTGTGATGTGATTATGAGACGTGACAGGATAATTGATTTATGTTCATACTTTAACCATACCTCCTTTACATTATTATTGATGATATATGTACATAGTGGTGAGCACGCTTTTCATCTTGTGCTCATCCCCACCTGCTCTTCACCGATGCAGGTTAAGTAGGAGCTGGGTGATGAGAAGAGGCGAGTGGGTCGGTCATGCATTTATTGCTTCCCGTTTGAATAAATAAAACTTTATGAACCTTTATGTTGAGACTTGCTTAAACCTGTTTCCAAAACTTATGACTTGTTTGTTTTTGGAAAACTTGTGGAACCCTCGATTATTGGTTATGATGATGTGGTTTGATTATTCATGTTGAGTATTAAGTCTCGTATGATATGTTTGGTTAATGAAAACCAATTGTGAAAACCGGGTAATGAATCCCTGTTGGCTCAGATAAGACTTGGGTTATGAAAATGTTGTTTAACAGCCATTAAATTTCGAAAATGATCTCGAAAAATTTGTACTGATTTTTGGAAAGTCTGGAATTTCTGTAAAATCAAAGTGGGGTGATACAGTTTGGTATCAGAGTTAGTCTGCGTTTCTGTAGGCTGGTTTTATATGTGATTATGTGTTTAGACCTTGTAATATGACCACTCGTCTCCGTCACTCCGCGCTGCTTAAGGTATGTTTGATTTAAGTATTAATGAAAATACTTGATATGTAAATGGTACACTTGTGGCAATGAAACTACTTGTGGTGTAGTTGTTATTTTTGGGGGCTTAGGATCTATCCTTCTTGATTTAATCGAACTCTAGCGTTTATTGGTGAACTCTAGACTTCTATAAGTATTGATTATTTTGTTTGTTTTTGTGCTAAACCTTGTTCGGCTTATTCAATGTAGAAGTATGAACTCGCAACAACAACCGTAACCGTCAGCCATCCCCGACAGCTTCTCCACCTCGTCAGCACCAGGCCTCTCTGGCCATGGACCTCACTCAGCTTATCGTCCAGTTTCAGAGGATGAATGCACCCACTTTTGCGGGGACTGAGAACCCCACAGCGGTGCTGGAGTGGATGAAAGAGCTGGATAAGATTTTTGCGGTACTCCCACTCCCGGACCGTCAGCAGGTATTCCTCACAGCTTATCAGATGAAGGAGGACGCCTCTGACTGGTGGATTGACCACTGGGCTCGGAGGCCAGAGGCGGAGCTTCATGCTCTCACTTGGGAGCAAATGAAAGTGATGGTGCGCAGCAAGTTCCTTCCTCAGAGCTTTTGGGATAGGATGGAGCATGAGTTCTACCACTTGCAGCAGGGCAGCTCCACAGTGGATGAGTATATACACACTTTCACCCGCATGTGCCTTTTTGCAGGCGATGCAGTGAACACCGATGCCAAGAAGGCCCGCAAATTTCTCAAGGGGCTCAATCAGAGGATCCGTGAACTAGTGGGAAGTCACGGACTGATGTCCTATGCAGATACCATGAGTCGGGCTCAGGAGGTCGAGAGTTGTCTCATTCCGTTAGCTCCCGTTCCTTCTTATTATCATGCCTTCCAGCCATCTCAGACCATTGTCCAGCATGCTCAGCCCATCTCATCTGTGCCGCCCGGCTCTAGTTCGGGCAAGAAGAAGTCCGACTTCCAGAACAAGAAGAAAGGAAAGAAGGGGAATTTCGATAGACGCGACAACCGGTCCTCCGCTGGCCAAACCTGCCCGAAATGCGGCCGATCCCACAGTGGCGAGTGCTTAGCTAACCAACGCAACTGCTTCAACTGCAACCGTCCGGGACACTATGCCAATGTCTGCCGTGAGCCGAAGAGACAGCAATAGCAACAGCCGCCCTACCCTCAGCAGCAGCAACAGCTTCTCCCACCACCTCCTCATCAGCAGCAGCAGCCCCACCGTTCCAGCAGAGGGTTGGGGGTCAGGCCCGTGTCTACACCATCACCCATGATGACGCCGCTCGCAATGCAGGTACCATGTCTGGAATGCTTTCGATATCCCATGTACCTGTTTTTGCTTTATGTGATACCGGTGCTACCCATTCTTTTATCTCTTCTCGCTGTTTGGAGGCCTTATCTATTAGCACCGTGCATGCTTGTGATCCTCTCGAGGTTAGTTTGGCCTCGGGAACAATTATCTCTGATTCAGTGGTTTGCAATCTTCCTATCTGTATCGGTGGTCGAGTTCTAGAGGCCGACGTCTATGTTATTGATATATGAGACTTTGACGTGATCTTGGGCATGGACTGGCTCACCCGTTACCGAGTCGATATCCAGTGCCAGGAGCGTGAAGTCACCCTCTATCCCGTTTCCAATCAGCCCGTTGTGTTCTTTGGGGTGAGTTCGAGGACCGTGCCTCGGGTCATCTCTTCTATGCAAGCTAGGAAGAGCCTTTCCAAGGGTAGCTGTCAAGGCTATCTTGTTTCCATGGTATCCAACGATGTTGATGAGTGGGTGCCCGAGAAAGTATCTATTGTTTGCGAATACCTCGACGTCTTTCCTGATGATTTACCCGGAGGACCGCCAGACCGCCAGGTAGAGTTCACCATTGACCTAATTCCCGGAGCCGGCCCCGTTTCTAAGGCCCCTTATCGTATGGCGCCGAAGGAGCTTCAAGAGCTCAAGGCCCAGATCCAGGAGTTGCTCAAGCTTGGTTTTATTCTCCCAAGCGTTTCGCCATGGGGTGCTCCCGTCCTATTCGTGAAAAAGAAAGACAGATCTATGCGCATGTGCATTGACTATCGGGAGTTAAATGCCCTTACAGTCAAGAACAAGTACTCCCTTCCCCGTATTGAGGACCTTTTCGACCAGCTGAGAGGAGCTAGCGTCTTCTCAAAGATCGACTTGAGTTCTGGCTATCATCAGCTGAAGATCCGGGAGTCGGATACTTCCAAGACTGCTTTCCGTACCCGCTATGGCCACTATGAGTTCGTAGTCATGCCGTTCGGACTCAGCAATGCCCCAGCCATTTTCATGGACCTTATGAATAGGGTCTTTCATCCCTTCCTGGACCAGTTTGTCATTGTGTTCATCGATGACATTCTGGTCTATTCCCGAGATATCGATCAACACAAGGAGCATCTGAGGATTGTACTGGAGACTCTTCGCCGCGAGAAGTTGTATGCTAAGTTCTCGAAGTGTGAATTCTGGCTGAACCGTGTGGCATTCCTTGGCCACATTGTGACAGCTCAAGGCATTGAGGTGGATCCCAGCAAGATTGAGGCGGTGAGCAGGTGGGACACCACAAGAAGTGCCGCGGATGTTCGTAGTTTCTTGGGTTTAGCAGGATACTACAGGAGGTTTATTGAGGGCTTCTCGAAGATAGCCCAGCCACTGACTAACCTTACGAAGAAGGCCGTGAGGTTCGATTGGAGTCCTCAGTGCGAGGAGAGTTTCCAAGAGTTGAAGAGGGGACTCACTACCGCACCAGTCTTATCCATACCCGACCCTACTTTGGAGTTTATCATCTATAGTGATGCTTCGAAGATGGGTTTGGGATGCGTCCTTATGCAGCAGAGGAAAGTCGTAGTGTAACACCCCACTTATCAGAGTCAATTTTTCGCAACTTCTTATTTTGAAAAGACTTAAAAAAATTTCAAAATCTTCTTAACTTAGCTCGGGATGCTACTAAAACTTATCTTCTTTAAAATCTGTCTTCTCAAAACTTGGTCTAACAACTGGTTAGATATAATAAAACAGATTTTAATTATCGAACATGTATGAAAACTGAACCTGATAAATCTTTTAACTTTAAAAAAACTATCACACATGTTCAATATTTGAAAGACGTAGCGGAAATCTTATAAGCATGGTATAATACAAACCGAAACCCTTATTAAAAGTCCATAATATAACAAATGAACCAAATCCTCGATCCACACCACCATAGCTGATCTCACACCTCTGCACTGACCCTGTTACCTGAAAATGATAATAGTGGGGCGTGAGTACTAATCCACTGTACTCTGTAAAAACCCATACTAAAGTAAACAGTAATTATAATATCAATATCATGATCTTTGGTATATATCTGAGCTTAATCTCCCGGTATCTGATCGGTAACTTTAACTTGAACTTTGCAACTACCGATAACTTGGGTCGGTTCTCACATGATCACATTCTGGGGGTTGCCTCCCTCAGAACCCAGTCTCGACTGGGTGAGCTTAAATCTTTGCTTAACTTAGGATGGCATATTAAGGCCTTGGCCTCCACCCTAAACTTAAAACTTTATACATACCTCGAACATGGTAATAGCTATTATACTTAATGTAATACCCAGTCTGGGTCCCCACCTTTTCTTCTTGAAAACATTTGAAAACTGTAAGTGCTGTTTTGGTAGTTGTATTTGCAACTACATAAAAAAATATAAACAAATATACTAAGTACTAAGCTCATAGTATTCTCAATAGTACTTTGGGATTCTTAACTTTAACTGATAACTTATCCGAATCTTAAAGATAATTTCGGCTATAGCTCAAATGAACATTAATTCATTGAACATCTTAAATTCTTAAACTTTTACTTAATACCAAACTTAAATCATATGAATCATGATTTTGAAACTTAGATGTTAGTATAAACTCATATACCATGTAATAACTTAAAAGTGAAAATAAACTCAATTCCACATACATAAATTCATGATTCAAACCTTATCTTAAACTTTCTTAGAAATAAAAATGGTAACTTAAAACTCATCAAAACCATATTATAATATCAATATACTATTCTTGAAACAATTCATAGAATTGTCTTCTTAACACATTCAACTAAAACTCAATCAATACTCATATAAATCATGTCTTTAAAATCATTAACTTATTCTCATATAACTTAGAAGTGAAAAATAACTCAACATATTCAACTTATACCAACATCAAATACATGATTTATAAACTATTAAACTTGTCTTAAACTTACTTGGTAATGAAAAGTAAAACTTAATTCTCATATCATCATAACATCAAATCATAACACTTAATTCATGATATTAATAAGCAAAACTTAAAACAATTTATATAAAATTGTATTCTCAACATATTAAACTAAAACTTGATCACTTTACTCATCACTTAATAGTATGAGAAATTTCATATCAATTACTCTTGAAACTTTACCATGAAATACATAATATATGCCATCTAATCATAATAACACATTCAATTCTCAACTTAATATCATGAAATTCACTTTGCATGCTAACTTCAAAATCTTTATCTCAAATTATAACATGTCAAATAACTAAATTCTTGTTCATAAATACTCCTCATCTATACAAGAATTACTCATTACTACTATAAGAATTTACATTTTAACATGTAATGAAGGTGATAACATCACACGACCAGTGTGACTTATCACACGACCCGTGTGACTTGAAAAACTTAAAATTTTGAACTTTTTAACTTCAAAATAGCTCAATCTTGGAATTTAAACTAATACTTTATTAATAACTGAAAGGGATATTACAATCTACCCCATTTAAAACTATTTCCGCCCTCGGAAATACTAAAACTGGGATATATATTATTTGAGTATATATATGAAAAACTTTAAAATCTAGAACTCTAACATCAGTTTATCACTCCCAAATTGCATCTTATTCTCTGGCAATTCTATTTTATACAAACGAGGGAAATATCTCGATTCCTTAGCCAATGAACCTTTTGGTCCAAAACTGATACCGGCTATTCCTCGTAATTTAAAACTTACTAAATCTAAATCTCATTGTGCTAAAGCACATAATTTGGACTGCTCACGTATACACGTATCATCGATACGTGAAAAACATTACACATATTAACCAATTTGGGAGGTAAAACTTAATGTTAGAATACTTCTTCTACTAGTTCAAAGAACTTTGAACGGACTTATACAACAAGAATGCAACTTACCTTTCTTCCCAAAACGAACGACACTTCTCATTAGTCGAACTTTCAGAAAGACTTTATCTTCAATCTCTAAATGCATTGCTCGTCCATGCTTATCAACGAAAAACTTCTGCCAATTATGAGCAGTCTTGAACCTTTTTTGAATCCAGGCTACATCCTTGACTATTTCCTCAATCAACTTCCATTATGGTAACACCAAACACTTTTGGACTTGTCATTTATGACTCGGAACATGACTATGTGGCACTTTGCATGCGATGTACCCACTACCCGGGGCCCTTCGGGTGCGGAACATTTACATGCGTGTACCTACAATGTCAATATCACCTACATATACGTTAGCATCACCAACTATACTGAACTTGCCTCTACGTCGGGAAACGTTATGATAAAAAATTACTATCAACACTTATATTCTTCTGACTTTAATATATCCAATATTTCTCAAATAAAACTGATTGGAAATTACTGCACTGCATAAATTACCCAATTACTGATCATACCACATTTCACCTATCGAGGTGAATTATTATGTCCTCAATAATGTTGATCGACACAACTCAACTTCACTATAATTTATTCTTCAATTATTGCCGACATCTCATATCGGATTTCTGCTGCATTAATTGCATACTGGCTGCATGTTCTGACATTAGGAATATAATAATGCCAAACTCTATCTCCAGAAACTTACCTTCCACGCTTCGATCTTCTATAAACCGGCTCGCTAATCCTTCAGTCTTTTTCAGTAATGGTCCGAAACAACAAATGAATTCGACACTTTCAAATATTCGCAAATCATATTCCTTTCTTCCTTTAAATATCATAAAAAGGATTTATCGATCTCGAGTGGAAAGATTGAGAGTCCTAATGATCCACAATATTCCAAATGATATCCGATGGTTGATTGAAGC